AAACCTTAATTACCAAGTGGGATAAGCATGATTAAGTGGTGTATGGATTGACTTTGGAAGAAAATACACTTAGGGTTCTATGTGCTTAATTCGGCCTAGAATTGTTCATGCAGAAGCAAATTGTTTTGGCTTGATTTGATGATTCTAATGGGTTTAAAACATGTTTTTGTGTAGGAATATGTTGTTGGGAAGTATTTAAAATCATTGGAATCAAAAATGAAATTTTCAGAAATTTATATACCCTATTCGGCCAAGTTGAATTCATGGGGAAGGAGTTTGATTTTCAAAATCTGATTCCATATTTGAATTCCTCATGAAAAATTGTATAGGGATAGGTCATGGGGTTATTGATTCTAAAGGAGGAATCATTTTGTTAAAAATCAAAGAAAAAGGGGGGAACTTATTAAGTTAAAGTTTAAGGATTGTATATAAGTTGTTTGGGTATTGATGTGGCCTATTTTTATGCTTGATTTGATAGGATTTGTGAGGAGGAAACAAGGAGAATCATTATCCCTTGAGATGATCAAATTAAGCAAGTAGCAAAAGGTAGCTTTGAATTATAATTTGATTGTATATCTTACTTGTTTAATGTGATTTGTTATTTGCTTGGATTGAGGAACTTGTGTGTTGTGATTTTGATTTGTTGAATAACCTTGGTTTATACTATGACCAAATGCATTGAATTGTGTTAATGTGGAAGTGTTGATGTTTCTCTCCTAGCATAAAACTAAGCATGATTTTATGTGACTTGAGGATGTCTTGAAGTTCTATAACATGTCACATTATAACTTGCTTGATATGTACGGTAATTTTAATTCAAATACTACTGAGATTTCATGGAAATCTCATTCCTCCTATGTTAAATTATGTCTCAAATAGGAAGTGGCTCATCCATGGATTAAGGCAAGGAGTTGGTATTGGGATAAAGAAGTTTGATGATCATTATGTTGTTTTGGAATGTTGTGTAATGTGTTATCAAACTTTATATCAAGTTTGTAATGAATTATAACGGGTAATATGATGTAAATTATGCTTATATGACATGCCTCAGTGTTGTAAATTTGAATGATATAAAGCCAAAAGAATTTGGAAAGAGGAGAATATGAAAAGAATTTAAGATAATGGAATTACGGGATAAAAATACACTAAAAAGAGGCTAAATTTATTATACATAAAATAATAAGCAATTGAATTTGGACCTGATATTTTGCAAGAAAATAGATCTCATTTTTAGCTTTAAATCAAGTGGTAAACCATCAAATTTGGAGTTTTGTGCTAAGAGTTATGCCCTTCTAAAGTTGGGCAAAAATACTGAAAATTTGAAAATTGACCATATGAACAGTACACCTTGTCAAATTTTCTGGTGCTTTTTTGGATGAAATTGAGTCTAGTGAATATTTTTCCTCTATATAACTCTTAGCAAGATTTGTGTGAAAATTGGAACCACCTCGTTTTGATTTTTTTTAGAATTAGTTATGAATTCTCAAAATTGGTCCAATTTCTGATGAATAGTGTACGGACAGAATTAAATGTGAAATTTTGAAACTGAAATTTTTCATCTAGAAATGTTGGGAAATATGTTATAATGGTTCCAGTTAATGTATAATAAGGTAACAAAGGAGGTGTTACAGTGTGCAAACTTTTACACAATTTTCAGCCTTATATAATTACTATGTAAGCTTTTACATGTCGGAGAGAACTGTACAAAGGACTTTATCCTTACATCATGAAACATATTTGGAATTTTATCACCCATGTTATCATTCATAACTTTCTCTTTTGCAAACAAAGAAATCCTTCTAATTTCACCATGCTCCAATTTATATACCTCAAATTTATCCCATTAAAAATAAGATGCTCTCTTATTTTAGGAATACTTAGCCGATTCTTGTTTAAGCAGTTGACACAAGAACAACAATACAACTTATCACTTTTATTAGGCATATTTCTTTAAGGAAATTCAACAAACTTTTCAATCATATTCTCATATTCTTTGCTAAATCTCTTAGCTTTCATCTAACTACGATCTATAGTTCTACATAGTGAAAGAACGTAGTTGTCAAGCTTAATTATAGTTATTTAACTCAAATATTATTGTATTTAAATCAAATATATCAAATAATTAAGTATTAGATAATAAATAGACTTGACTAATATTTAATTACAAATTAAATGGGCTACCTTTTTTATTTTTTTTTTAAAATTCACAAAAAACAGTATATAATCAATAACAGCAAGCAACAAAACCATTTCAATAATATAGAGCTCAATACATATTGATTATACAAAATTCCAAGGCTACAAACCCTATTCCACAAGTGTTTCAAAGATTTTAAAGTAAAAGTTCTAAATTTAAAATGAAAACTCAAATAAACTTGATTATCTATAAAACTTGATACACAAGTTTTTTTTTTAACTAAAGCTTTTAGCTTAATTTATAATTTTCCCAAGTAATTTTCACATTGCTTAAACCAAAAATAACTCAAAAACTCAGAATATATATCTCAAAAATAAAAAAATCAATAAAACATGAAAATAATCCCACAGTAAAGCTTCAATAACTATTTCAATGAGATTCATAACAAATAACTAAGCTATTTATGCCAATTAAAAGCACAAGGTTCAAATCTCAATGGCATATTACTTAAAATTCACATAAAATTATCCTAAAGAAATATTAACTAATCAAACAACCAATACACTAGCAAAATCATGTCTTAAATACAAGAAAACTTTGCTCATATAATCTATTAGAAGTTTCAAAACACCAAACAAACCAAAAAGGACCACAAGATACGATGAGAAGAAATGACATTGAAGAGCAAAAAGCTTACAAATAACAACGACGATGATGTTGGAGGGGGGTGGGGGACCATGATGGTAAAAAGGTTTTGGTGAAAGTGAAAGTTTTTGTCACTAGATTGTTTTAGCAAACCTTGTAAAAAGATGAAGTTGTCACTACGTCATTACCATGTGATGGTTGGACTTTTAACAATGGTTGTATGAATAATCACTGTAAAAAATAAAATTTATCATGATTTAATTCAAAAAATGTTATAGCCTTTTTTTTAAACAACGTTATACTTTTTAACCACCATAAAATGGCGATATAAAATGTATTTTTTATAGTAGCATTTTTTTTGTTTCTCTTGTATGCCCAGTCTTTGTTAAATCATTGGTGTAAAACCTAATCATGGTTTATGACAAACAAAGGTGCTTATATGAGGAGGAGCAAAATGGCCAAGCTCAATAGTTTTCTTTTCACTTTTCTTGTGGTACTTGTGCTTTATTTTTGTTGTTTTTGTTTTTTCTATTCACCATTGAACTTGGCGAACACATCATAAAGTATAATATACGCATGTTACTCTTCGATGTGGGATAAGCTTTTCAACGTGATTGTATATTTGTCCTAATTAAGTGCTTGCTCATTATTAAGTTTAGGTATGAGTTCATTTTACTATCACTATTACAAAATGAAAAATACTTGATGGTTATTTTGGATCATATTTGACAGTTAAAAACCGTCAACTATACTAGCATCATATATTTCAACAGCAAATATTTGACGGTTAATAACCGTCAAATATTTTAATTATATTTGACGGTTTTAAAGAAAGAACCGTCAATTATTATTCAAAGTTTTTCAGAAAAAGCGTAAACTAAGTGCTCATACTTGACGGTTACTAAAGAAAAACCGTCAATTATTTTGAGAGTATACTTGACGGTTCCAAAAGTGACCATCAAGTATTATGAAACATACTTGACGATTATTTTTGAAAAACCGTCAAGTATTCTTTAATACTTGACGGTTTCAAAAGTAACCGTCAAGTATGTTAGAATACTTGACGGTTTTAACTAATAACCGTAAAGTATTATTGGTATTTTTTTTTATATTCGTTCTCCTTTGCCAGCAGCCCCCCTGCAATTTTGAAACCGATAACAAAGGCTCATTCAACAGAATCATGCAGGCCAACATTCAAACCAATTCAGTCATATACATATATCTTAATGAACCAAAAATAATTTACATTATTATATATATACATGAACCAATGAAAACCAACTGTGATATATTAAAATTCTGGCAAGTACAAAAGGTGAACCAATTCCAAAATTAGCCAATTGCCAAAGTTGTGCAATGCCTAAAACTAACCAACAGCCAAAAATGAACCAAAACCAAAATTATATTGAAACCAAAGCTAGCTGTACGTACATACACTGTCTGAATGTACACTTCCCTATCTATGTTGTGCCCACTGACGAAATAAGGCCATCGCCAACTCCTCAACGATTTCTTCCATCTGAGCAGATGAATACACTGTGCAATATGTGTCGGCAAAGTACTGTATGCAACCACAAATTATGACTTAAGTTAGATAGAAATATAAAGCTACAGTAAGTACAATAATTCTTAAATATATAAATTGAACCTTAACAAATTCATATTACCTGCGTGGGAATTGTGTGAGCATTGTGCAGAATTATCTCCTTCATAAATTTCATCATGCAATATCCACAATGGGAGCTCTTGTTGGGCTGACGTGGGCACTGTAAAGAATGGAAAAGGAAATAATATTAGTCAATCATATAAATAAACCATATTTAGTAGAATAGTAAATAATGGTAGTGAATACCTTCACTTTCTTCCACGGGAAGGTATCGTCAAATTGGCCATTTTTTACCGGGAGGCAGGGTAAGGCCTGATTTGTGCGGTATAGCCACAAAGCCCTGAGAAGACAATAAAAATTAAATATTAATGATTGTCAAAACTTTGATTGAAGCAAGAAATTAAATTAAATTTAAATAATAGAGATAAATATTACTTATTGAACAATAAAACCATAAATGGTCGATTGGTTGGATCCCCATGAAGAGAATCAAGATACCAAATCCTCGGCTTTGTGGGATTGACCACAATCAGCATCCAGTGTCCCCTAAGTATAAGAAAGACAATTAGAACTATTAAAAATTATTTTGAAAATGAAAGAATTTAGGAAAGTTTACCCTTGACAATAAGGTGCTAAAAACAAAGTCTGAGCCCCCGGTGTTGCCCTAGAAATGAAGATATCCAACAAGTCTCTAGATAAGTCTTTCTTCATATTAGGTCTGTGGCCAGCAAAAGCGTGGGGGCTGATAATCTTGAACTTGTCATCAAGGCCACCAGGGGCTATGAAGTTCTTGAAAAGATATCTAAATCAACAAACGAAGATATCAATAGAATAAATGTTCAAGTACTTAAGTATTTAGTTAAGGTTTTAACAAATACATGATATAAAAGTTACAGGCATTTGTGCTGGCCATTCCATGTGTCAGAATCTCTTTCAATACTTCATTTGTGACATAATCTGATGAGGGTCGACCGTATACCTCTGGCTCAAACTCTAGGGGAATCATGAAATCCTCGCCATGTTCTAATCTGGCCCCAATTGCATATTCCTCAAGACATATTCGGAATCTTGATGATACCACTTGAACGGGCTCAGAGGGCTACTTCTGTGGTGATGATAATGAGTGATCACCCAATAGGCTCTTCTTCCCCTTAGACTGACAAACAGACTGTTAGTAATTAAAATAGAGTTTATTTTAAATCAGCTGAATTTGTAGACCTATACATATATACATTTGAAGGATGTCCTAATGTAAGAAGACGGCCAGGCCAAGCGACAAAGCTACCCACTGCTTGAGCCACTGTCTCTGCATCTGGGGTGGGTATCGGGAGGGCATAATTCGCATCAATAGCAGTGTTCAACTGCACCCTCACATGATCAGCAGGGAGAGGCACATTATGAATCATACTCTCCCCCGGTAAATTGAACATGCGGCCCGTTGCAACACTTTGATGTTTAGGGCTATCCGCCATACACTGAACGTTCGCTTCACCCTGATTTAACATGAGAGACAAGTTAGCTAGATATATAAATTATTGAATGTAATTATATAAACACAATTATTATACCTCAAGTAGCAAGGGGAATGTGCAGCTGTCTTTGCCACTTGGGCTGAGATTCGGAGCCGGCTGTGGTGCTTGATTCTTGATCAACTGCTCGATTAGGAGTGCTTGCGCTTTAACTTGCTCCTTTAACCAGCGTGTTTCTTCCTTCAGCTCCATGAACTCAGCAGAGGAAGGCGTGCACGATGAAGAGGGCTTTTGTCGGTACCCGAAGTAATCTCTCTTGGTGACTCCATAACCGACGCCCCTAAGAAGACCAGGATGGTCAGGAGTCCCCAATGCCCTCCTCAATATATCCTGGTCATCTACAGAATATGCCCCCTGCGAAACTTCCTGGGACAAACTCTCCTGTGCAACAAACATTGATATAGTTATTCATACTTAAAGATATTTGACAATAACGTGAGGATTATTTAATTTAGAATAATACTCACCATCCTGTCCACGACGTCCTTAACGCGAGGATTATCAATTTGGCCATCTTTATTTTGCCTGGCCAGTGCCCACAGCATCTGACGTGATACAATGACATCTGATCCCTCCTTTTGAGTCACCTCTTGCTCGAGGCCTGCATAACCCAAGCGCCCCTTTCGGTAGGGATACTCATTCTTCTTTACCCTTTCCTTATTTTGGGAACTTAATTCCTGTAAAAACAAAGTAGATTCACAATTAAACAATATATAGATTAAACAAAATGGACTATTTAATATAAAAAAGAGCGAGGATTATTACTTGAAATTGCCTATCACGATGTGACATCACAAAAGCAGCCCAATCCTCTGGTTTGACCAAGTCCCGTATCAAGCTAGGAACCTGGGACTCGTCAGCTGTGGAAGGATCCTTTAAGTACTTGTGTGTCACAAAATATCGAAAAGAGCGTAGTGCCCTCCCAGCCTTCCCCTCCACAAACTTCTTCCTGCTCTCATCTATATCAAATGTAGACTGCAAAACATATAAAACAACACATTAGTGTCACGCAGCTTGTAAGAAAATGAAATTTGAGTTGTTATAATATATTATTGATACATCTGTCCAAATAGTGTCTCGCCCTGAATGATCAACCCTCCTCCAGTGCTGCGCTGTAATGGGCACGGTGCTTCGTGCCACTGCCCCAATATAGCTGATAAATTTATTTGACCGTACTGCTTGTCCTTTCTTATTCCACTGTACGACAAATTTCTTTCCTTCTGTTCGAGCTTTCACGACCTCTTGCATGACACAAAGGCTCCTCTGTATGCGTGCTGCCTCCTCTTGCAACTATCTCTCCTGCTCAGAGGCATCTCTCGGCTGAGATGGGTTATCAGTACTTGATCCGCTATCGTCTGCCATCTGTAATGAAATTGAAGTAAACAAAATGAATCAGAATCCATTAAATGAAAATAAAGTCATTAATGACAAAATTGACTTGAACAAAATTAAAACAAATAAAAGAATCAAAGAAAATAATGAGAGAATTTACATGCATGTTTAAGAAGATCTTTTTCTTTTTCTACTCTTATGTTTTTGCATGTTCTTCTTGGTTTGAATTGTTTTGATCTTCTTACGAAACACTTTCCCCCTCTTTGAAATCCATATTCCGTCGTTGTGATCATGCCTAACATACATGGATTGATCTTCATTTAAATGAGAATCAAGTGAGGCCCCTTGAAATGCATCATCTTCAACTGCATTGTCTTCATACCCCGTCTCTTCAATATCCATTTTATTAGTCAACAAAACAATAGACCATCCTTTGGCAACCGGGTCAGGGACATAAAACACTTGCGTAGCCTGAGAAGCCAAAATGAATGGCTCTTCCTTGTATCCTTCTTTATTCAAATTCAATTGTATGAACCCTAAGTCATCAATCCTCAATGCATTATTATTATCCACCCATTTGCAACCAAATACTGGAACTCTGAATTCAATGTAATCTAACTCCTAAATATCCTCAATCACTCCAAAGTATGACATACATGCATAGATAGGATTTTTATCTTTGGCACTCGATATATGCATGGTACTAGCTGCAAGATTTACGCCACTATTTTGCTGTTTACTCAGATCATCTTGCTGTTTAGTATAGAAAGTGAACCCATTCATAAGGTAGCTTGTGAAAGAAATCACATGTTTGCTCGGTCCATCTGCCAACAACTTTAATTTCTTCGAAACAAAATTAGGATCATTATTATACTTGCCATGCACCTGCTCTCTCAACCATGCTGTAAATTGTTTATTGTGTGTTTTGGTGTACCAACTTTCAAGTTTATTGGGATTATCCCTCTTTAGCTCATCAATATGCTCATGCACATAGTTCTCAATCTCTTCAGAGTTGTGCAATACATATAGATGTGCCTGCTCCCACTGCTGGTTTGAAATAGTTACGACTTTCTTTCCCCTAATCCCTTCTCCATCTGTCCTTCCCTCATGACGAGACATTGGAACCCCAATATCACTTGCATTTTTTAAGTAATGGGTACAGAATTCAGTAGCCTCTTCACAAATATATCATTCTACAATACAACCCTTTGGCCGACTTCGATTTTTCACATACCCTTTCAATATTTTCATGTAACGCTCAACTGGGTACATTCATCTTAAATACACTGGGCCACACAGTTGGATCTCTCTAACTAAGTGGATGGTTAAATGGACCATGATGTCAAAAAAGGTCAGAGGAAAATACATTTCAAGTTCACATAATGTAACTATGATTCGGGTTTGCAATCTTGGCAATTTACTAGGATTAATCACTTTGCTGCAAAGAGACTTAAAGAAGAAACATAACTTTGTGATCGTAACTCGTACCTTATCAGGTAAAATAGCCCGTATTGCCACTGGAATAAAGTTTTCCATTAAGACATGACAGTCATGAGATTTTAAACCTTTTAACTTCATATCCTTCAATGACACAAGGTTACTAATGTTAGAAGAGTAACCTTCCGGCACTTTTACTGAAGCAAAAACTACTTTTCTCTTTTCTAGAAAGGGTGTGAGCTGCCGGACGAAGAAATGTACGAGTTCCCTTATCCTCTGGTGCCAATTCCTCCCTTATCCCCATTTAAACCATGTCTAGCCTGGCATTTATGCCATCTTTAGTCTTCCCAGGAATATGGAGTAATGTGCCAAACAGACTTTCACATACGTTTTTCTCAATATGCATAGCATCAAGAAAATGTCTCACATTCAGGGTTATCCAATACGGCAGTATAAAGAAAATAGACCTCTTCTTCCACCCACTTGTCCTAACATGCTTCATGAAAGGTTTTCCAAATTCACTATCTATATCTTTCACCTTTTGAAATACATCCTCCCCAATCAACGGTGTTGGTGCCTTACCTTCTTCTGAATTCCCATTGAAATATTTTTTGAATCGCCGGTAAGGATGATCACGATGCAACCATCTACGATGTCCCATATATGAATTTTTCATTCCATGCTTCAACCTTATGGAATCTGTGCTCTCTTTACAAATGGGACAACCAAGTTGTCCTTTAATGCTATACCCTGAGAGATTATCATATGCAAGAAAGTTGTTAATTTTACCAAATAACATAGCTCTCAACTTGAATGTTTCTTCCTTATATGCATCATATACATCAACTCCATTCTCCCACAATACTTCAAGTCTTCAATTAATGGAGCTAGATATATATATCTATGTCATTTCCCGGTTGCTTTGGCCTAGAGATTATCATAGACATCATTGAATACTTGCGTTTCATGCATAGCCATGGAGGAAGGTTATATATAAACAAAATCACTGGCCATGTGCTATGGGTGCTGCTTTGCATCCCATAAGGGTTCATCCCGTCGGTGGCTAATGCAAGGCGTAGATTTCTATCTTCTTCCCTGAATTCAAGATACTCAATATCAAACTTCTTCCATTCTGGAGAATCAGCAGGATGGCGAAGCATGCCATCTTTAACCCTTTCATCTGCATGCCACCTTAAATTTCTCGCATCTTTTACATTACTATACAAGCGTCTGAATCTTGGCACTATGGGAAAATACTATAATGCCTTCTTCGGGCTCTTCCCATTCTCTTGGTAGCATGATGCATTACACTTAGGACACTGAGGCCGACAGAGCGCAACACTTGCTTTGCATCATACGTTTTACTTGGAAGCTCATTTTCTTTTGGTAGCATGTGTTTAACAAGCAACAGCAATTCTGTGAAGGTTGTGTCGCTCCACCCATTTCTTGCTTTCAAATTATACAGTTTTAACACTGCAGACAATTTTGTGAAATCAGTACAACCTTCATATAGAGGTGTCTCAGCATCACACTTCAATCTATCAAACATTTCAGGACAATCGTCAAGTTCCCGTTCAATTGCATCTGTCATCTCCTCAAGACGATCAGCTTCACATGTACTCATGTCAAAATTAGATGATCCACAGCTTTCACTATGCCCTCGACTACTATTACTCACATCTCTTGTCTCTCCGTGCTTTGTCCAACACTTGTAACTTTGATCAATTTCATTGATAATTAAGTGGCTCTCACAATCGGATGGCGAAACCCAATTCAAAAGGCAACACTTAAGACAGGGGCAAATAATCCTGTTGCGATCATCGGCGTGCTCAATCGCAAACTTAATAAAATCTTCTACCCCATCCCAATATTCTTTTGATAGACGATTGGCGGACATCCATTCCTTGCCCATGGTCCCCAACTAAGATGAATCATTTAGAGGAAAATATGATCAGTGACTCAAAGATACTATGAGAATTAAACAAAAATAGAAAGTCAACACATGAGCCACTATTGATCACATTTATCCCTCTTTAATTCTACTTGCTAACAACTAGTAGTTGTTAGCAACTAGTAATTCAACAAAAATTCACTTTCACTTCAGTTTGAAAAATATTCTACTACTACTAATGTGCTATTCCATTTGAAAAAATTCGGCAGCATAACAGCTTATAACTTAGCATTCCCCAGGCTTTATGGCAGAAAACCAAACCAACACATAGTCAATTTCAATTACAAAAATAAAAATTGAAACATTAGCATTGCATTCCCCAGACTTTATGGCGAAAACAAAAAACTAAAACACCCTAAACCCAAACTGATCAAAATGCGAAACACCCATTTAGAATCAAGAACAGAAAAAAGCCCATTCGGCCAAATAGAAAACCCATTTTCTGTGTGTGCATGGTGAACGATCCTAGCAT